AAAACTAACATTGCTTTTATTTAAATTAAATAAATAATATTTCACATCAAAAGAAACAACAATGTTTTAACAAATCGTATTAAATAATCTGATGACAGAACTGTAAACAGAATAGCTGAAACTTTAACAAAATAAAGAGTAACTCAGTTTCCTATAATCATTAACCCATGTTTGAATCATTTAGTTAACTGCGTGTGTTGCTGCTAGCATACATAACACCTGACGTGGAAACGTTACTCGTGGATGGGGCTGCAGAGCTGCTAGAAAGACAGTCGAACCCGGTGCATTCCTCCGTCTGGATGTGGTGCACTTTTGCTAAATGTTTAGACACATTGCTCGTGTTACCGCCCTCACATGCTGAACTCTCTTGGCAAGGAGCATTGTCCACCTCAAGACGGGTAACATTTAACCACACCTTGGAGCGCTTCTCTCCGCCATCTCCTCCGTGTGTTGCTGCTTGTAGCAGCCGCGTGTGTGTAAACTGCCCCGCCCCCTCGCGCACAGAGAGGGAGAGAGATCTCGTCTCGATTGGAAAGATCGAAAATACACCGACATTTGTTTGTCTTTTTGCATGTTAGAAACGAGTTGGCGACACTAAGATTGCGAGATAATATTTGTGTAGCAATAATACATGACCTTTCTCTTTCTCAACTCGCTACTCGGAGGGAAGTCGCTGTCATATGCCTTGTGAACACTCCGATAATGCCTCTCCACGTTACCTTTCTTTGGCAGAGCGACGCTTGCTTTACAAATAAGGCAAATAACCTTTGAATGTGACATCACAAACAAATATTCTTCCTCCCATTCTGGGTGCAAGTGGTATGTCTTTAGCTTCTAGCTCGGTCCCGCACTCATTTTGTTGTTTGTCTCTTTAACTTAATTTGAGTTTTCCCGGCACTTGACTGATTTTGTATCGCTTTGCATTCTGGGTTAACAGACTGGAAAGCGATAGGTCGCTTTTTCTGTCAATCAAGTAAACTCCTGAATTAAGTAGCAGGGAGGCAAAGGGAGGAGGGATCAAAACCTGTTTTGTCTATTTTAACGGAACAGGAATTTTTTTTTATGAATGACTCGCGATCTACCAGCATTGCCCCCGCGGTCGACCGGTCGCCCGCGGTCGACGTACTGGGCACCTCTGATCTAGATGCTTCAGTAATGATCAATTACAGGCCCATATCAAACCTGCCATTTCAATCATGAGAGACGTGATGTATGAAATACATGTTTATTACCGGACACGTGGTATAGAAAATTATGATTGACAGATTACAACAAAGAATCAACTGATGTTTGGAGATTAGGCCCCGGTTTGTAGGATATCATTCAGGAGGGGAAAACCGCTCCGATGAACCCCCCGGGGTCTAGACACTGGTGGTGGTGATAATGGTTCGGTCTGGTCTGGAGGAAGAAGGATTAGCTTGGCCTGAATTAGGAGACAGGAGGTGAAGGGGTGGAGGCGGGTTGTGCGTTGACACCTGAAATGACAACTGACAGAGAGGGAAGAGCAGATTTAAAGGGTTAGCAGGTGCGATGATTGACTAGCTGGGGAGTACCGCCCCTGATTACTTAATGGGAGAAGAGCTTGCAGTGACGTGTAACACCAGGGGGTATGGTCTTCCTTCTTGAACTTGCGCTAAGCTTCATTTCAATCATGAGAGACGTGATGTATGAAATACATGTTTATTACCGGACACGTGGTATAGAAAATTATGATTGACAGATTACAACAAAGAATCGACTGGATGTTTGGAGATTAGGCCCCGGTTTGTAGGATAGCATTCAGGAGGGGAAAACCGCTCCAATGAACCCCCAAAGAGAAGAGAAGTAAGAAGTGCTGAGATGTGAGCATTTCTTACCTTGCTGGCTGATTGAGGAGATCTGTGGATGAAATGAGATAACACAGGGACATGATGAGAATGTCGGAATAACTGTAGGGTTAATGTGAACGCCAGCCATGCTTAGCGCCTGCATGGTGGATTAGACGAATGCTGACCCACTGGCCGCAACCTGCACGCGCAGGGTTAAACATGACGCTGACCCACCGGCCGCAACCTGCACACGCAGGGTTAAACATGACGCTGACCCATAGACCGCAACCTGTACACACAGGGTTAAACATGACGCTGACCCGCTGGCCGCAACCTGCACCCGCAGGGTTAAACATGACGCTGACCCATAGGCCGCAACCTGTACACACAGGGTTAAACAAAAGCTGACCCATAGGCCGCAACCTGTACACACAGGGTTAAACAAAAGCTGACCCATAGGCCGCAACCTGTACACACAGGGTTAAACAAAAGCTGACCCATAGGCCGCAACCTGTACACACAGGGTTAAACAAAAGCTGACCCATAGGCCGCAACCTGTACGCACAGGGTTAAACAAAAGCTGACCCATAGGCCGCAACCTGTACACACAGGGTTAAACAAAAGCTGACCCATAGGCCGCAACCTGTACACACAGGGTTAAACAAAAGCTGACCCATAGGCCGCAACCTGTACACACAGGGTTAAACAAAAGCTGACCCATAGGCCGCAACCTGTACACACAGGGTTAAACATGACACTGACCTACTGGCCCTGCACGTGCAGGGTTTAAACATAATGCGACCCACTGGCCGCAACCTGCGCGGCAGGATTCAATACAAGCGGACCCGAAGGTCACAACGATATGAAGTGTTTAAACGTGAACACGGTGACGCGTAAATGTGCTGACTTGCTAAACCACCACCAGTTGTATATATAAATACCGTTAGTGTTTGAGGGACCTTTGGATGCCAGCACGGCACTGATGTCCGGGCGAATGTAGGATGTGAAGGCAGAGGAGGACCACCGTCCGAGTTGTTGCAGGGATGAGGATGAGACTCCTTGAATGGCAGCAGATGTAGCAGCGCCTATCCTGAACGAATGCCCCGAGAATAATTGGGTGATAGTCCGGATTTAGAGAGAATTTGTTTTAAATAGTAGTTGAATCGGTGTTTAGTTAAGGGAATATTCCTGGAAGAAGAAATAGTGGTGAGAGAGGATTGTGGAAGATCTCAAATGCAGGAATTTAATCATGGATTTATAGGGGCAGAAAGGAGAATCGTTGCGAGCAGCGCTAACGGAGCAAGCGCCTCCACATTTGGAGTGCTTAAGTTTTAGACTAAAATGGCTAGCATGGAAGATAAGTCGGGCAAAGCAGACGTCTTGATTGGGATCGAATGTTAGGGAAGTTGTGCCGAATTCTCCTGGTCTGAGAAAAGCATAGAATGCTAACAGAAATAATGCATCGAGTAGTGCGTCGACGTAGGGAGAAAATACTCCTTCTCTGAGTTTGGAGAGCATGAGACGCAGGGGTGGAGAGTGTAATGGGTCGCCTATGATCGGTAACTGTGGAAACGTTTTTTGAAGACCTTTCAAAATGAGTTTGACTGATTGGTTAGAAAATAGGCTGGGAAAGCTGTGATCGTAACAGCGACGAACATTAAACTGCAACGTCAGCTAGGAGGCCTCGGATTGTATTGAGGTTTGAGGTGGCGATCAGTGGCGCAGTAGCACATGAAGGCGCACACAGTGGATATGAGGACGGGTTTTAAGTGAGATGTTTACAGCAAAGCAAAAGAAAGCGAAGGTTCTCCATGCAGAGTCATATTTTTTAAGGGTGGAAGCGGCTAAGCCCTTCCTTTATAAAGAACCTGGCGGACTCTAGGTGCCTGGCTAATGGGCTCTCATTTAGAGAGGGAGAGAAGATGCAGGGGAGGGATCTCGACGGGCTGTGGAGCTGGCTTCTGGGCAGAGATTCCGGAAGGTCGGGAAATGAAAGCGAGAGAGGGAGTCAGCCGCTGTATTGAGGTGACCGGGAACATGACGAGCTGAGATGAGAAAGTTATGGGTAATGGAAGACCATGTGATGCTTCTCATAAACGGCATAATGTCATTGCACGGGGGAGCGAGCTTTGTTAATTATTCCCACTACTGCTTGGTTGTCGCAGAGCACCGAGATGCGTTTCCGTAGCCAGAGGTGACCCCACACATAACAGGCAACTGCGATAGGGTAGATCTCGTGCAGGGCGGAGGATGAGGCATGATTGGGGAATGTGGGAGGCCATGGGCCCGCAAACCACTCTCCCTGAATAAACCCCCAAAACCCACGGATGGGGCGGCGTCCGTGAAGAACCTCATTGAGTCGGAGGATACACTATGTCATCATAGAAGAAGGTGATGCTGTTCCAGTGGTCGAGCAGGAGGGGACCAGAATCGTAGGTCTGAGCGGGCAGCCTTCATCTAGCACAACACGGTCATGGAGGTTTTTAACGCCCGAGCTGTGTCTAGAAGGCGAGATATGAATGAGCGCCCCTGGGGGATTGACGCGCATGGCAAAGTTAAGGGTGCCCGAGGAGAGAGACCAGCTGTTGTTTAGTTATGGTTTGTTGCCCGCAATATTACTTGGTAATATCACGTATGCGCTGCAGTTTGTCGCTGGGGAGAGATGCTTTCATCTCTGCGGAATCGAGTGTGATGCCTAGAAACTCCAGGCGTGTGTCAGGTCCTAGGGTGTTTCCTCCGCAGATAGGGGAACGCCTAGCTTCTGAAAGCAGAGTTTAAGTTTTGTCCCAGGGAGGGCGCCTGAGTTTGGCCGAGGGGGAGTCTACGAGGAGAAAATCGTCCAGCAAGTGAAGAACAGAGGGTATTCTGACAATGTTCAGCAGGATCCAGCAGAGGGCTTCGGAAAGAGAATTCCCACCTTGATTGCCGAACATGTTCCACTGGGACGGATGGATGGGGATGATTTGAACGCATCAGTGATGTCTGCTTGGAGAGCAGGCCTCCTTGCCCTGTGAGCTGTATTAATTTGATTGCGTTGTCAACCGAGGCATATTGAAGGGGAAAATGGCTCTGAGGGATGAGGCTGTTAATGCTGCAGAACGGGCCCGGTGCGGGGTGCGGACAGATCAAAATTAGCCTTTCTTTTCGGAGTATTTTGCGTGTGGCTACTCCTATTGGACTTGTCCGGAACACTGAGAACGGGGATGAGTGAAAGGACCTATTAAGTATCCTTTGTTACATTCTTTCTCAATGAGCTGAGAGACTATGATGGGTTCTTTATTTGCTGATTGTAGGTTTTTGCAACGAAGGTTACGGGGGGAGGAGAGAGGACCCCGACCCTAAAGCCTTTGGGAGAGCCCTGACAAAAGGTAATCAACGAACACTGAGTCTGGGTGGGTAGAGAGTGTGGCGGCTAGGTATTGAAATGGTTAATGGGAGTGGAACGGGTGAATTTTAGCGAGGTTTTTTCCCCCACGTGGTTTCTGTTGGGGGAAGTTGATTCGCGGCGCTATGGGGCAGACTGACTTCGGATGCGCATCCCCGCAGAAGCCTGGCAGATGTGGATAAAAGTACAAAAGGGGTAAAACGCAGACATTCTCGTTAAAGCCATAACATATCCTGTCATTTTTCCTAGTCTGCACTGGCGTTCTTGGCCATATTCCCTTGGATACGGCGTGGGAAAATCTCTGGCCCTGGAGAGAGGCACTGATGGGCAGAAAGTGGCAGTGTGGCCCTGCGTCCGCAAGTAGAGCATGAGTGGAACTTGTTGCCCGCCGGTAAGCCATGACAAGCAGCTCAGTGTCCAGTACGGACCAATCCAGGCGGATGTTGCAGTGAGCTAGATGGCGCCGCTAAGCTCTTGTGGTAATAATAAAAAATGGATTTCCCGTATTTAAGCTGGAGATCACCGATGATGCCCAGATACGCGTCTAACTCGGTTCTCCTTTCGGGGTAAACGGTACATAGGACATCTCGGAAGATGCCGAAAGCGACCAGGAACTGTCCTATGTTTAGATCTTTCAGAAGCCGGGGATCTGTGGACCTAAACACGGCAGTGAAGCTTCCTCCTGTGGCGATAGACTTGTCACACTCCGGGGAAGGCAAGATGAGGCTGATGAGATTAACGTCTTTCCTTTCGAGGATTTTCGCCCTCAGCCTGGAGGAAATATACGCGGCTTGGGCAATATAAGGCCTACCTGAAGGCGGCTCTGGAAATGCGGTAGCCAGGGTGTGAGAGGGGATTACTGCTTGATGATATGACTGGCCCTGCCCCGGCCTAAGCCCCTGAGCAGGAGCGTCGCCCCAGTTTGCGGAAGAAGTTGACGCTCTAGCAGAGCCTTTATCCATGGCCTGGAGGTGAGTGTTAATTCCCTGCATGGAGCTTGCCAGATTTTGCAGGGTGTTAGCGAGGCTGTCGTCCTGGTTACCGAGGCTCCCGAGCTGCCCGGCGCTTGGGTGCGCTTGGGGAAAGTTGGATTTTTTTTTCTGGGCGAGCTTGTGGAGGGCTCCGCTTCCTCGTCCTTTTTCCCTCCGCGGCTACGCCCGCGTCCTCGCCCCGGTCTCTCGGGAGAGTTGGCTGGAGAGTTGGCTGGAGAGTTGGCTGGAGAGTTGGCTGGAGCTGCTGCCCTGGGCTGGGAGGCCGCACCGGGGACTTGGTCCGAGAGTTCCCGAAGCTGGGAGAGAGGGAGGTCTGGGGCTGCGGAAATGCCCTGCCGCCGTAGGTGGGAGATGAGGAAATCCGCCTCTGCTATTCGGGATTCGCCACGGGAAGCCAGACGGGAGCTTGTGCGCCATTGGCTTGAGGAGATGGAAGGTACACCTGGAGGTATGTCGGAATCGGGATCGAGATCCTGCGGAAAAGCTTCGTTGTCGGAGCCTTCTGTAGTGGACATGTTGTTCTTCTTTTTTGTATCTTTTCTGAGTGTTTGTTAACGAGATAGGAGTATAGGTACTACCAATTGCGTTGACACCTGAAATGACAACTTACAGAGAGGGAAGAGCAGATTTAAAGGGTTAGCAGGTGCGATGATTGACTAGCTGGGGAGTACTGCCCCTGATTACTTAATGGGAGAAGACCTTGCAGTGACGTGTAACACCAGGGGGTATGGTCTTCCTTCTTGAACTTGCGCTAAGCTTAATTTCTAGGTAAAATCATTGAAAAAGTAGTTTTTCAACAGTTGAGTAACTTCTTGCATTTAAATAACTGTTTCGATGTGTTCCAGTCAGGATTTCCTCAAAACTACAGCACTGAGAGTGCTCTTGTAAAGGTATTCAATGACATCCACTTAAACACAGACAGTGCCAGAACTTCAGTGTTAGTATTATTAGATCTCAGTGCTGCGTTTGACACTGTTCACCACAACCAGGGTTCGAGTTACGTGGGAGCCAATGGGAGCTGAGCTCCCATAAGGAGGGGCCTGAGCTCCCACAGACCCAGTGAAATCAAACATCTGTGGGGGTCGCTAATATACATTACCAACAACCATTATTTTGATCACAAATAATGCATTTTTCAATGTAATGAGTATTATTTACGTTAACGAGGTAAATAGGCAAACAAAACAATGTTTTCGAAAAGAACTACGCATCGTATTCTCTCTTGAATGACAATATCCCCTGCACTTCACCTCTAAGGTGCGCAATAAAATATTGCGCATCTATGCCTGTGAGGCTGTGGGACGCGCGCCCCGAAGAATGAACCGTATATCAACAGACATTCAAATATATTGACCAGATACACACATACTACGAGTACCGTAGGCTAGCAGACGATTACCATGCCACCCAAAAAAAGGCCACTGCCGCCGACGGGGTCTACAAGCCTGGCTAGTTTTGGTTTTCTCACAAAGAAACAGCTTTTGACATCCAAAATGCACCTGCTAGCGTGGCAGCTAGCACTAACCTTGCTGCTACGGAGGATGCTGTCTTTGCTAGCGGACCTGATGCTGTTGATTATGGGACCACCTGCACACACGTAGAAAGATCCGAATCGGAGCGGCATGAGGAGGCAGGAGGTACTGCTACAGAAGGACCACCACTTAACTGGGAACAATCAGTGGAGATCCTGGAAAGAAAGAAACCCCTGGCTGTTTTCAAAGGAGGGTGGTCTTGGATGCCTCGTCTGTAAGGAAGCCAAGACTCTCTTACTTTCGGAGAAAAAATATGGAACGCATTTGGTGGATTGCCTGGCAGGGGCGGTTTCTAGGGGGGGCCAGTGCCCCCCTAACACTGACCTCTGACCCCCCCTGTGGCCCCCCCTAACAATGAAAAGTTTTTTTTTTAAAATGTATATTTTCTGGTACTCGGTTGCCAAAAACCGCAGGATTTTGTTTCTGTAATGTGAAATTGTGCAGACACCCTTATGTAAAGTAGAGATGTAATTGTTCATTGTCTTTATTTTTATATAAATATTGGTGTTAGTGCAAACATTGCACTATAACTTAAGCCTGAAGCTAACAGTAATAACTATAAGATCTATCTGAAATAAATAAGTGTACTGAAACAAATACCAATAACTGTATTGCATTGTTTTCTTATGCGCAATTACTTCATACTGTCTAGTTCTCTTTTTCGTCCTGCATTTATTGTGCCCCCCTCAGAAAATAACTGGCCCCCCAGTGGCCCCCCCAGTCAAATTGGTCTAGAACCGCCACTGATGCCTGGACCAATGGGACTGTGAGTAGCCCTGTGCAGAAGCATTTGCGGACATCTTTTTACATACACCGCGATTTTTTACATATTGCTCATAAACGAGCTGTTGAAAAAGCGGAGCTCAAACTAAAAGAAGTGCTTCCGAAGAAAGTTGCAGAACTGAGCTCCAGCATGTTTAATGAGACTTGGAGTCTGCACCTCCAAGGTGTGCAATACATTATTGCGCAATCTGTGACTGTGTGCGCGCCTGCGCGTGCGTGCACGCGCGCATAAGGCGCATGCGTTAGTTTTAAAGACCCCCATAGAGCTCAGTTATAACTCGAACCCTGACCACAACATATTACTAGACCGAATAGAAAACTGGGTGGGACTTTCGGAAAGTTATAAATTGGTTTGAATCCTACTTAAAGGACAGAAAAAAACGTTGTTTCTATAGGCTTTCGAGAACGAGTTGCAATGCTAATACTAATTTCCATATTCTAAGTCCAAACGGATCATTGATAAACGTTAATTTCCATTCTGCTAATCAATTCATAAAGCACAGAGCAGAGTCTATTTTAAAACGGTCTATGGTCTTGAACCATTGTTTGCTGTCTGCGCATCCACCTCTCTTTCTCTTATCCTCAACTAAACACTCTCTCCGTACACAGTACGCCACATATGCACAGACTTGACTTTTTGTGATTTCTCAAAATAGTAAATGAAAAAGAAGCTAATAAACACATCCACCCTACATCATGAACAACACATCTGTGTTGAAATTGGCAAAGATAGATAGTTAACGTTAGCTAAGGAGGATTATTTAGATATATCTAATTCGTTTTCTAAGAAATGCCCTTACCCCATGGATTTCCTGGATGATTAGAAACCTTTACAGAGGAAGAACGATGGGGAAGTGAGACTTTAAAACAGTACCATCTATGTTAAAGAGTTTTCTAATGGCAAAAACTGTATTGGAATTGTATTACCTCTTAGTAATTAATTAGAGTAGTAAAGCACAACATACTGCACAAGCTGTCCAGATCATTCAATAAAATCAGTGCTGTGCACATTTACTGAATTACATTCCCACCATTGTCCTGCACTTCTAATCCCATTTGGAGAAGATATTGTTGAAGGATAGAAGAAACATAAAGAGACAGTGATGGAATATTAGTAGTGGGTCCATTTTCCTGGACAGAGTACCATAAATATCTAAGGCATGAGATATTTGTATTGGTCATCCTTACATTATAGTCTGTAAGAACAAGGTATGGAGGGTGTAACAACGCTCAGAGCGCCTGGGGGAGGCTAGAGTGCTGGAAAACATGGACAAGCAGGAAAAGTGTCTCATGGAACGCCGGCCTTTACAAACACCCTCTAAAGCTATTAATCACCTGTCACTGATTTATATAAAGGAATTAAATGATTTAGCTTTGTCTCTCTCTGTGTGTTTTGTTGATTTTGAAAAAAGCCACTTGTTTTTTGTGGAAGGTGTTTCTGCCCACAGCTGCAAGTCATTTGATCTCTATAAGCAAAATACTAATACATGTGTTCATGCTGCTTTTATAACAGTTTGTTGTTACTTTTTTGTAATGGTCCAGAATAGCAAATGTTATTGCAAATGACAGTTTTTTATCTACATAACACAATGGGACTATCTTTGAATGAACCATGTAGAGATTATCAAGATGTTGAAGCAAATGACAAATTACATCCAATCTAGTCCAACTATCCATTATGTAATCATATTTGTGGATTTGTATTACAGCTATAGTGGAGCCCTGTATGTAGAGACTGCAAAAGGCAACAAAAACACCTTAAGCAGAAACTAAATCCAGCAGTTATCGATATGTAGGAGTGCTCTGAGTGAATCTTTCTCTCATTAGCTTCTATCAAGCTTCAATACTAAGCCTGTGTTTGTCTCTCTGTGTATTTGTGTGGTACTGTCCTATGTGGTGTGTTCTTCAGGCCTCGATAGCTCTGTGATGAATCCTTATGGCCCAGCAGGCATCTGCCTGTATTACGGCTGGGCCAGACTAATGAACTACACCCAGACATAGTCATAATCAGATTAATGATTGTGTTCAGGTATAAAATGACCAACATCAATGGGGAGAAAGACATATAGAGGTAGAGAGTAGCCAATCCATAGCTAAAGGATGATTAGACACTGTGGACAGGCATGGAGCCAAGGTCAGAGACCAACCAGATGATTCTACGTCAGAAAAAGCCCTAGGCCAGGGGAGCAAAACAAATATAAAAGGTGAACAGGTAGTCAGGGGCCTGCAACATTCTGTCGGCCTGCTGTTGATGACATATGGAAAATTACATTGAATGAATGCAAATCACTTATATTTTTGAGAAGCATATGGTGACAAAGGTCAGGGCCATTCATTTTTTGCCCGGTCACATCCCCAAGGACAGGTTGACTCATGGCATCGACTGTAAAAAAGGATGATAATCACAGATTAAACTTGAAACCACTCACCAAAAGTCTGTCACACAAAACTGCATATAGGAGCAAATGTCAGAAAAAGGTAAAGCTTGTGATATCGAGAAGTAACAATATGCATATTAACTATATCATAGGAGTTACATTGGCTTCTTTATATCAAACATGTATCTTTGGCAGTGTTTATTTTATTTTTTTTCGTCTTTTCCCCAATTTGAATGGAATAATATGTTATAGTTTTTTAGTAGTTAACCCAACAACAAGATAGATTTGTCATATTTTTATTTGATTACTGTCTGCTGAGCTTGTTGTCTTAGTCTGTATTTATTTTTCGTCAAATATCCACCCATTCTGTAAACATAAAGAATATCTGTCCAGATGAACACTTTTTTGTGCTTTTGAAAGCACAATTTGTGTACTTTTCTGTTGTGAAACCGATTGTGTCTTGGTCACGCATACCCGATCTGTCATGCCTGTATGTGCACCACACACTACTTCAGATCTATGGGATAAAATAAATCCCAAAGAATCCAGAGAATAATCAGATACTTGATATGTAGTGTGCATTTTGATTGCTATTATTTCGATTGTATCATCTTGGCCACTTGAGGGTGAGCTCAGGTAATGATAATTTCAGTCTTTGTGTTTATTGTGTAACCAAGTGCAACAGCTTGAAAGAAGAGCAGCAGCTTTACCAGCCCAGTAGCATCTGCTAGATGGCACAAACAGCCACCCCTTATTTACCCTGGCAGTGACTAATTGGAGTCAGCTTAATGACCGGAGGTGGAGCTTACGCTAAAGGAGTGG